TTCGAACTTTAAAATGCTCGAAACTTCGAACAACTCGAATAATATTTGAAGCTTTAATTATTTTGGCATTTACACTGGTGAACTAGATTTTGTCAAAATTTTTCTGGTCGAAAATAGATACGTTATATTTTCGAATTTTATCTGCGAACAAAAATTTATATGTAATATGGAAAAGTGCAAGTGTATGCAAAAATCTTGCCAAATTCTAGTCAAGTTCGACGATAGGTAAATAATCTCTTCAAAATATAAATTTGCTAATTAGAAATTTATTATATATTATGTTGAAGCTAGTTGAGTCAGTGCACTTGAGTACTTTTACTCTCTATTAACTGCAAAGATTCTTCAAAACGTCTCTCTACGCTTTGACTGGGTTATTGTTTATCATTTTATCAGACTAAGCAATAATTGACCTCAGATCTGCATACCTCTCCGAAAAACTATTCTGAGATTCGATAACGCGGTGTTAATAAGTTTGTCAGTTTTCATAAATAATTTCAGGTCTCTCTCCTTTATTTTATATTTATAGAATTTATTATATATATTTTAATTTTTTTTTAAAAAAAGTTTCGTCTTAACATTCCAACTGTATTTATTTTAGTATTTAGATATATATATGAATATATGTTAATATAGTAGGTATTTTTTTAATCAATTACTTTAAAAAATTTATACAGAATTTTTATCTCTTGAGAATATTTCTTTTTATTATTTTTCAAGACCACACTGCTCCCAAATTTCTTGCCATGGCTTTATTTTACTTTCGAACTACTTTGAAAAAAGTACCTTCACGATTACTTGTACGATTTTATGCGCTATGAGAAAACTCGTTTCGGTAAAAAAAATAGTAAAGTAAATTATTTTACATATATGATATGATATATATATATATATACATATATATTACTACTACATCTACTATAAAACAAATGTAACACAATTATTACGTTCCTATATATTTATTTTTATTATAATTATATTATTATAGTATACTATATATATAAATTTTATAATTTAACTAAACATTAAAATATATATAAAAATATAGAACTAAAAACAAATACGAAGCAAAAATTCAAAAGCAAGAGCTAAATATCCTATAGAACTTAAGACTCTGAGATTAATAGCAGAAAGTATACAAAATGGCCTAAATTCCTTGAAACCAAATAGCACATATTCCAAAAATGGACAAATAAAAAATGATTTGTAATACAAAAAAAAAAAAAAAAAAAAACGAATTGATAAAGCAAATGTTGCAGTATTAAAAATTAAAATAAAATAGTTATAAGTAATGAAAAACAAAAAAAAAAAATAATTAAAAGATATATATATATATATATATATTGTAGATAAGAACAATATTGAAAGATATGTTGAGGAAGAGTAAGTTTAGAGATTTGCTAAAAATGATGTTAGCATTTTGTAGCGAAAGCGTATTGAAAACAGTTGAGTAGTATATAGCCGAAAAATATATATATATAGAGATCTAAGATCAGAACCATGGGTGGGTGACATTTAATTTTGAGCAATTAATTATGATTATATTTTCTAAAGCCTAAATTTTTAAATATATAACCATTTAAATGTAGGGTATATGTATAGGTCTGTATTTATAGGGGATAGGTATAGGAAATATATATATAAATAAATATAAAATGACATAAGAACTATATACTTCAATTTAATCTCACTATATAATTTCTCATATAAAAGGGTCTATAATTTCAGACTTTTATATTTAGTTAATTGTGTTAATTAAATATTAATTAATTATTAAATAAATATTTGAAAAAAAAATGTTTACATACTTATTATTTTTTATTTTTTTTGATACACTTTATTTTTATTTATGGAATTTTAATTCTAGCCTATTAATTCTACTAAAGTCTATTTTAATACTTAAATTTTTATTTTTATAAATTTCCACAAAAATTTTGTTTCCTTTTTATATAATTATTTATTTATTTTTTATTATATATTTATTTTTTTTTTTTATTTTATAATTATTTATTCTTTTTTTATTATATATTTATTTATTTATTTTTTGTATTATATATTTATTCATTTATTTATTTTTCTTTTGTTGTATATTTATTCTTTTTTGTTTTTATATTACTTTTTAATATTGAAAATATTATGTAGAAGTTTTCTATATAAAATATTTTTACTATTTTTCTAAACAATTTAAAATTTCTAACTCCCCTACATTTTTGAATAGTGGTTCACCTAGAGAGTAGAGCATATACAGATCAAATAATATATATTTTCGTTTGCTTTTTTGACTATTTAAGATAATAGGAATGAATATAATGAGGAATTACTAGTTTAGCTGTCTGCTAACCAATTGAGTAAGCGATAATGTTGGCTTACGAATATATCCAGCCTACAACATTATACTCTTTACAAGTTATAAGACACTTCCATCTATATTCTTCTATTCAAAAATATCACTATTAAACTACTATTGATCTACGTTGAGTGGTGCTTTCTTATGTTTTTTTTTTTTGGGTATATTTTGGTATAATACAAATTCAGGACGCTTAATAATTCCTATACTAAAATTGGTATTAATTTTTTCTTATTGTATTACAGTGGCATAACCGGTACTGTGGATTATATGGGGATTATATTAGAAAATATATTTCTGTCGAAGTTGGTTTACAGTTCACTAAATTACTTATAATAAAATTTAGTAACAGTTTATATAGAAAAAGTAGTATTCTTATTGAATACTACTTTCTCCGTTTATAAGTACGCTCGTTACTTTGAAATTAGTATTACCACTTCTATCATTTCTTTTTCTATAGATGATATGTTGGATGCAGTGTTTCTAAATTCACATTTAACAAAATTCATAGTAAATATTAGTACAAAAATATTAAAACAAAAATATATTAAAATTACGAAGCTTTTATTATCTATATAATATTGTCAAAGAGGGTATTTATCGTCTTTCTCCCTTTCCCCACTGAGTACACCATTGTTGCATTATGTTTTAATTTTAATTTATTATTTTATAATATTTCAAATACAATTTGTTTATTTGTTATTCAAGAAAATTTTTCTTAATATTTTTTTTTCATTTACTATTTACCATTTTAATATTTCATTTACATGACATGTGGAACCTTATGCCATATTTCCACTGCTTACTTAGTAACTTTCAAAGAACTTTTTGTTACATAAAATTTCTTTTTCATGCAATAAGTAACTTATGTCAATGAAAACGACAAAATTTTAAACATACTTAAGTAACTTGCTAAGTAACTAGTGGAAACATAATATAACTCTCACAAACTGTTTTTAACCGAAATATGTAAGCAGTTTTCTTGAATGAGATATATGTTTCTATTTAATTTTATTTTATTTAGGAAAAACCCAATCCCTATTTAGAGTTTACTAGTATAGCCTAGTATATTAACATCCATATCGCACACAAAAAAAATCCATATAAATGTCAAAAATTTTTTATTCGAAATGAATGTTAGTACTAGGCTTAAATTAAATAAAGCTTAAACTAATAGCAACTTTTATATATTTATCAATTTTATTCGTTTATAAATGTTTAAAATAAATGATGATATTACCACTGCTATAGAATAATAGGTTCGGTGACACCGCATAATAAGGTTATGTTATTCTGTAAAGTGAGAGAAACAAAACACATTCACTAAAGCGTTACTTGTTACCGAGCTTGTTATTCGAGATCGTGAAAATCTTCATTATTCTTATATTACATTTTTTCATATTTAATTTTTTAATATTTAATTTTTTCATATATAGAACTATAAGATATTAAGAAGATAGTATTGAACTTATTTTTCGTTAGCTCTGCCTATGGTTCTGTACAGATTCAAACTAATAGAACAATATAAACAACCAATAATAGAAACATATATATTATATATATATATATATAAATATATGTATATATATAAATATATATGTATATATACAATAAAAAGTAAGCTAAATTAATTTTAAAAAAAAATAATTGAAACAAAATAGAATGTGCCTGCGTAAAATATATTTTTAGCCAAAAAAAAAAAAATAAAAAAACAAAAAAATAAATAAAATTATATTAAAATAATAAAAACTAAATATTAATAAAGAAAATTTGAAATTAAAAAAATAATTACTAAATAAATTACAAGAAAAATATAATTACTGGTAACCAAGTAAAAAATTGTTAGTGAAAATATAAATTTAAAAGCTCAAATTTCCTATTAAAAATTATTTTAGAAACAACAAAAAAATTTAATATTTTTTAAACTTACGTTTCATTAAAATTTTTATATATTTATTTAAAAATTTAACTAAAAATTAAGTATGCAAAAGCAAAAAACTTATTCAAAATGATAAAATTAAAGTGAGTAAAAAATGTTCCTATTAAATTAATCAAAAATAAAAATATAAAAATTAAAACACTTTAAATTATGTCGAAAAAAATGTATGATTAAAAAAACACCAGTATGGAATCTAAATTTATTAAATTTTTTTTTTTAATTTATAATATTATATATGTTATATTATATTTTCGAAATGTTCAGTAAAACATTATTGAATGCTCGTACAAACATATTAGTATCTCTATGTTTTTTTTATTTTAAATATTAATTTAAAATTAATTAAAAATTAATTTTATGTAAAAGAAATATACTATCTGAATTTAATTATTTATTTAAATTATAAATTGTTTATTAACTTATATTTCAAAAAAATAAAAAAAAAAGAAAGAATACCGTTTTGATACCCAACAAAGTATCCTATAAAGTATAGTAACGCATAAAAATTGTATTCCTGTAGCAAAAGAGGGCAAATATATATATTTTCAGAAGTAAAAAAAATTATAACAAAAACTAATGAAAGAAAAATAAAATGCAAAAATAAATATAAATTTTCTTTTGTATACAATTACTTTTAACTATATCTATATAGCTTGTCAAATAATAACATAATATAATAATATATCATTTTCTTTCTTCTTACTTAATCTTCTGTAGTATCTCGTCGTTCTTTGGAAATGCGTGTACGTGCAACCGATCCCCGTCCTTGTCCAAAATGTGGTAAAATCTATCGTTCAGCGCATACATTACGTACTCATTTGGAAGATAAGCACACCATTTGCCCCGGATATCGTTGTGTACTCTGTGGTACTGTAGCAAAATCACGTAACTCGCTGCATTCACATATGTCACGTCAGCATCGTGGCATATCCACAAAAGATCTACCAGTTTTACCAATGCCAAGCGCTTTCGATCCAGATCTAGCCTCACGTCTACTAGCCAAAGCTGGTGTCAAAATATCTCCAGCAGAATTGCGTGCTCGTGCTTCACCAACTAGCGGTGGCAATGGAGGCGGACAACCAAAACTGGATTTGACTAATGCTAGCGGTGGTACAAATGATGATTGCGAAGATTCTGATGATGATCCAGAGGATTTGACCACAGGCAGCGGTGCTTATGGTTTGGGTTCAATTGGTGGCAGCAATAATGGCGGTAATGACTTAAGTCGCTATCATGAAAGTTTATTAAGCAATTTCGGACATGCCAATACCACAATTTCTCGCATACGTAATGAGGCTGCAGCTGCTGCATTGAGTCAACAGAAAGACCTCTCAAGTGGGCAAATTCCTACTAGTACAGCAGCCAGTCAATCCTTGTTAGATACGTATTTGCAATTTATCACGGAAAATACATTTGGTAAGAATAAATAATAACTACATGAAACTAAAATAGGAACCTTTATGAAAATAAAATAATATATATTATTTTAAACACGAAAATCACCCTCTCCTTGTGTAAGCTACTGATCAGGGATAACTATGCCATATAAATGTCCAAATCAAATCAAAATTTTTGTTCAAAAAGAAAAAAAAAATAACTTCAGCATTTTATCGTCAATATCTGCACAACATCTATTCTTAATTTTTTATAGATATATCTATTTATAATGCTAATATACCATCAAACATATCGCAAATTTCTTAGTGCTTTTTGCTGATAAAATAAAGAATAACCCAATTTGTAGTCCTAATTTGGCAGCACTGTTTAAGTGATATAAACCAAATAGAACTGTCATCTATGGTATTATATTTTTAGTTTACCATTTTATAATATGGATCACTTAAAAACCGTTGAATGTATCCAAATTATGAGAACTTACAACTTATTCCGTCGTCCGTTAGATATACCTCTATGAGCTGTTAGACCTCATAGACTATAACGTTAAATCGTCAATTCTGATCGCTTGAGTAACAAGATTGATAACTTCTTCTAGCATTAAATGGACGATATTAAATGGAAGATATAAGTAGCTCCAACAAGACATTGCCACAAGTCACACAACACGGACATTTTAATTTACGTTTTGCTGATATAAATTACATATCAACCACCACTTAACATTTATTATTTATATGTTATAATAAATAAAGGCACAGTAACATATAAATGATATTATAGATTTAACCCCACTCCCTTAACCCATGTCGCCTTTCGTCACAACTAAAGTGATTCTTATTTCCGAATATCGCAAAACCTATTCTTATACCATATATGAAGTATTACTTTCTTTAGCTAATACTTTTTTAATAAGATTTTTTTTGTATAAGTTAATTTTATATTAAAAAAAACCCTTTTTTTTACCGTATTAGCTTACTGAACAATTATTTTTACAGGCATGGGTATGTCTCAAGAACACGCAGCTGCAGCAGCATTACATGCAAAAATCGCACAATTAAATGCTATGGGACATGGTTTGGATAAGCTACCACCAGGTCTATTGCCACCACAATTTGATTTATCTAAAATTGCTGCACCAACCGCTAGTTTTGGTGGTAGCAGTAGCAATAATACCGGCCTCACCATAGAACCAATTATGCGACGAGACCAGACAAATGACAATGGTCCTACGCCTTTGAGTAACTCTGTGAGTGCAATAGCTGGAAATAACAATATAGTAAGTAGCAATAATACAAGCAATAGTAATACTAGCGCCGATATACGACGTGACTCATCCGAGCCAATGGACTTGGGTCTCGACAACAATCAGTCGGGCAGTAATAATGATGGTGCCAATTCTGAAGCCGAGGATAATTACTCCGAAGATGAAGGCGTTCACAATACATAAACTAACGCTGAAACAACAATTATAAATTATTAAAGCATTTTAATATATATATATAGAGATATATATAAATACATAAATATTTGAATTCAGTGTGTGTGAGTAACAATTTAAGTCAGTGTATAGAAGTTAATAAGCAGCAAATGTATTTATATATATATATATATACATCAAAAGCTAAAATTCTAATGGGCATTTTAATAATAATAATATTTGTTGCATTATTTGAAAATATAGAAAATGCAATAAATTTTAAGCAATCCAATTTAAATATTTCAGTGAATTCATTGAATAGATTTTGAAACGTGAAGCCTTAAACATGTATACCGAGTTTTTTAAAGCAAATATGAATTTTTTGGAAAAATAATTTTTGTCTCTGAAGTTTTGAAAGTATTTGACTAGAAACAAATAAAACAAATAAAACAAAAAAAACATATATAATAAATATTAAATATTTAGTGGAATTTTAAACAAAAATTGTTTACAAATAATATAACTTATGGTTGGTGTATACGATTTTAAGATTTTGCAGTTATGCATTAAATATTTACAGCAAAACAAAACAAAAAAAAAATACTTAACAGAAAAGAATTAAAATTATTAAAAAAATTATTTATAAAATTCTTTTAAAATTTTAAAAATTTAAAATAAAAAGTTAAAAGTATTTAACATGAAAAAAAAATATACATATAAAATAATTTCAATTCATAGCAAAATATTGTAAATAAATTTTAATTTTAAATTAATTTTTTATAAAAAAAACCAGGCAAATATGTTTAACTGTTTTATAAAACTTCAATAGAGTTTTGTTTAAAAAAAAAATTTTTTTTAATATAACAATAAAAATTCATACTGCAAGTATTAAAAAAAAAATTTAGTAAATGAATTATTAAATTAAATAAACTAAAAAAAATAATATAATAATCCCAAAAAACAAACAATTTTGCAATTTAAAATAAAATTACTTACAATTTTTTTTTTTTTGTTTTGTTTATGAATCACAAGTTATAAATACTCTATATATAATCTGGAGAGATACTAATTACAGTAACAGTTCCAAAAAGAAAAAATTCCGTCTATAATAGAAATATTAAAAAAGAAATAAAGAAAAACTAAACCTGAAAAAAGGCATTAAGAAACGAAGCAGAAGCAGATATAAAAAAAAGCAATAAAAGTGTAGACAATATGAACAAAAGAAGCACACAAGATAAAAAAACAATCTACTTCAAAAAACAAAAAAAAACACAAAACCAATAATAGAGAATAGATAAAAAATAGTGCTGATAAATAGCAATAAATGGGAAGAAACCAGTTAATTTGTTAGAAGAAAAAAGTGAAAGAATTTTAGAACTACAAAGTGTAGTAGGAAAATCAAAATCAATTAAGAAAATGTAGAATATATATAGAAAAGAAGCATAATAAAATAAAGAAAAAACAAAAAAAAAAAGAATAAAGAGGATACTGGATTCTAACCGGTCGGAGTACTGAGACAGATCGTAGTTCTAATAAAGAAAGAAAATACAGAATAATAGAATAAGAATAGAAAATACAGATGATTAAGCTGTAAATAAATAAAAAGAGCAAAAAAAAAACAAAACGAATTGAATGGAATGAGAAAACTTGAAAAACTTAGCATTTATTTTATTATACATATTTTATTTTTACTTATAAGAGTTCCAAAAACTTGAATGCAAAACAACAGTGAATATAAAAAAATATATATTTAAAAAAGGAATATAAAGAATAAAAAATAAGTAATATTATTTGTCAACAAAGGAATTAATAGAAGACTGACACTTATAGAGAGAAAAAACTATTATCAAGAGAACGAAAATTGAAGCTTAGTTAACAATAATAAAGAAAGATATAGAACATGCACTTTTTCACAAAATTTTGATTGTATTTCATAGCATATTCACACGGCATTAGTTAAACTACATTAATTCCTAAACTGAATTAAACATAAGGAAAATACATGTATTTATTGTTCTTGAGTCATTTTACGAAACTTAGTTTTAGACAAAGATTTTAGTTTAACACTCTAAAAAATTTCTGGTACGTTTGATCTTCAATGTGACTTTCTTTCTATAAAATAATATGTTTCTTCATATACATATTACTTTATTTTACATTTACATTTTACTTTATTTTACATTTACATTTCTAATTGCCAATAAGTAACAAGAAAAATGACGTGTGAATGCCAATTTAATCTAGAAGACTATAGATCGAGATTTACTTTTGCCATGTGAATAGGCTGTTACACTAATTACTGACTAAACTAGCTTGCTACTATACAATACTGAAATATACAAATTAAAGTAAATTATATATCAAGATGGTTCACAATTATATATCAAGATGGCTATGTAGTACATATTTTGTTAAATAATTCAACGTTTTATATTTTTTTATTATATTCCATATTTCGACTCTACTTGAGAATCATCATCAGGATCATGTACTAACATAAATTAATGTTACTAAAACTATATCTACGTGTTCCTCTTTATTATATTGTCTAAAGTTATATATGTTATATGAGTACTGGTAGCAATTTTGAAATTAGTGTGTACTATACAATGTCATGAAAAAACTAAATTTAAAATAATAAATTAATAAATAAATTCGTTTATGTATAATAGGATTCATATATATTCTCATTCAATCAATTCAGTTTCTTTTTTTTTGCTTGAAGAGTTGAAAATGGAATAAAAACGGTGCTCTGAGTCAGTACATCTATTTCTCTATTTTTTTGTTTTTTGTTTTATATAGTTATTGCTTAAAATGATATAAGCTTATTTTTAAAAAATAAGATTTTTGTTTAAGCGTTTTGTTTTCAGTCAATTTTTTACAAAAACAAACTTAAAATAATATTTTCTTTATAGTGAAGGGAACGTCAAGTCTAATAATAAAAATATTACAATATATATATATATTGGTATCAGTCTAGTATCTCTCCAATAAAATCAATTAGTCACAAAAATATTAAAAAAAAACTCGCAGAATCTGTAAAAATAAAATAAATGTTATTTCTAATTAAAAAAAAAACAATAATCCTTGGATATATACATGTGTTATAAAACGATATTTTTTTCATTATATTTTTCATTAATATTTAATATGTACAATAATCAAGAAAAGAAACTATTTCAGAAACTTTTAATTATTTGCTGTATAAAAAATAAAAAGTTCTTAAAAAACAGTTTAATTCAAATGTGCCATTAACAAATAAATCAAAGTAATATACACTTATATATATATATACATATATGCAAATATTATACATCAAAGAATTTTTATAAAATACATATAATATATATACAAATGTACTTCCTTTAAATACTTCCAAAAAACAAAAACAAAAACAAAAAAAAACACTAACTGCAAAGATTTTTTTTTTAAACTATAAAAAAGTCAAATGATAAACTACGCAACTCAGGAAAATTTTTGCAACTAAAGTTGAACATTCCTATATAGAATATAAATTTAAGAAAACAGTCAGAATTTATAAATAGAACCAATACAAGCATTTCTAGCCACAAATAACTCAACTACCTCAGTTTTAAGAAGAACAAGAATTTACTTATAAACTAAAAGTCATTATATTAAATATATCATTGCCTCGTTAAGTGTAACAAACAATATATACTCGAACATACTCGTATATTAGAAATTGACTTCCATTTGTATACAAACACAACACAAAAACATTATATACTTATGTACACGTACTCACAAATATATGCACTTCGTATGTATTTCACTATATACATACCGAACATATATACAAACATGCATATATATGTTGAAAGTAACTTTAAGTTTTTTTTTCCTAATATAATATATAATTTTTATGATTTTTAATTAACAATAAAGTCAACTAAAATTTCCTAAAAGGGAAATAAATCAAACGCAATAATAAACTTAACAAAAAAAAAAAATAAATTAATAAATAATTATACATATTTATCGGTAATAATAATGATTAAATAAAAATATAAAAATATTTAATATACTATATATTTAATATAGACAATTGTTGTATGAAAAATCTTGCCAATTTTTTTTTATTTTGTATTTTGATAAAAAATAAAAAGAAAACAAAAAACAAAAAGTATAATAAAAATCATTATTATTAATAATATAAACTTTTAATACAAATAAGTTTATATAATAAAATAATAATAATACTATGAATATTTTAAGTGTAAGAAAAAAAATAATTATTGCAATTAAAAGTTAATATTAAATTAAAAGCACATTAAATTAGCATATAAATGTATATGTCTTTATATATTAAATATGTATGCATAAATATTTATATATATTTATATATATATATATGCATACTTATATTATATAAATATATAAGTTCAAGTTAGAGCCGATTATAAAAAAATCGGCATTGTTAAATTAACAATAAATATTTTAAATTTTAATAGTAAATATTATTTTTTTTATTTATGAAAAATATTTGCATATATTACGTTTTCTTTTTATAAATTTTGTTTTAAAACATAAGCTAAATTATCATTTTTTTTTTTATTACATATATATATATAAATATATATAAAAGAAAAATATTATCTTAGAAACTGAAACGCAAAAGCGCTAAAACGGTTACCTCAACATACTCAGAATTTAGTTTAAATGGTTTATTGTCTACAGTATCTCAGCCAATTAAATATTTTAAATTAAACCAATACAAAAAAAAAAAAATTAAAGCAATTTAATTTTTAACTTAAAAGAAGTATTTAATTTACAATTTTCACACAAAATATTTTACATTTTTTTAAAAATTTGCTTTTTCAATGTGGTCACTATTACTTAGCTAAGTGCTTAATTATAATTAATTGTAATTAATTCTTAATTTTTAAAGTTTTTTTACTTAACTGCTTTTAGTTTTAATTTCTCCAAGAGATATAATTTACTAAATACACACATATATTTATATAAACAAAAAAATACTACTTACTATTTGTTTTTTTGTTATTTATATACAAAAAAAATATGTTAACCATTAAATATATATTTTTTTAATTTTATATTAAATTATGCATATAAATATATTTTAAATTATTTAAGTCTACCTCAATTGCGTTTAGTTTAGTGCATTAAATTTTTTAGTAAT